TATAGGAGGGATTTTATTGAGCTGGAGAGGGTTCAGAAAAGATTTACCAGGATGTTGCTGGGAAAGGAGGCTTTGAATTGTAAGGAGAGGCTGGATAGGCTGGAACTTTTTTCACTGGAGTGTAGGAGGTTGAGGGGTGACCTTATAGAAGTTTATAAAATCATAAGAGGTGAATGGCAGGTGTCTTTACCCTAGGGTGGGGATTTCAAGACGAGAGGGCATATTTACATAAGAACATAAGAAATAGGAGCAGGAGTAGGCCACTGGTCCCATCGAACCTGCTCTGCCATTCAATAAGATTGTGGCTGATCTTCTCATGGACTCAGCTCCACTTAACCATCCTCTCACCATATCTCTTAATTCCTTCACTGTTCAAGAATCATCTATCTTTGCCTTAAAAACATTCAATGAGGTAGCCTCAACTGCCTCACTGGGCAGGAAATTCCACAGATTCATAACCCTTTGGGAAGAAGTTCCTCCTCAACTCAGTCCTAAATCTGCTCCCCCTTATTTTGAGACTATGTCCCCTAGATCTAGTATTTTTAAGATGAGGAGAAAGATTAAAGACATGAGGGGCAATATTTTTTTTGCACAGAGGTTCATGTGCGGAATAAACGTCCAGAGGAAGTGGTGGATGCAGGTACCATTAGAACATTTAAAAGACATTTAGATAAGTACATGAATAGGAAAAGTTTGGAGGGATATAGGCCAAACACAGGCAGGTGGGATTGGCTTAATTTGGGAACATTGTCAGCATGGACTGGTTGGATCAAATGGTGTTTCCGTGCTGTATGACTCTATTTTACCAAAGGCATTATAGAAATGCAGACCATTGTTGTATGAAACATGCATGATTTGTTATCAGCTTTTCATGTGACAACTGTAAAATGAATGAATGACTATTTTTAGGCCATTTATGTGCTGGATTTCTTCTGGAATGAAGCCTGGTATCTGAAGACAATTGATATTTGCCATGACCATTTTGGCTGGTACCTGGGTTGGGGAGACTGTGTCTGGCTGCCATACCTTTACACTCTGCAGGTAAAACTATTTCAATACATCGATATCAATAGATACTTTGCTCTCAGCTTTGTTTTCTATGTGCACCTTAATAGGGGAGTTATAAATGTTCTGATTTATAATTCAAGAAGAATAATAGGCCAGAATTTGAAAACATTCCCCCATTGTGAGTTACAGAGCGGGAAGACAGAGCATAGTAGCCCACACCCCTCATCCCTACAGGCCTGGAACCTGCTTATTGGCCCCTGATATACACCCCACCACCCCCCACCCCTCAAATTTAGACATTGCCTGCTGCTAAAGCAACTGCCCCTCCCTAGGCCCACACTGCAATGTTAAACATAGAAACATAGAAGATAGAAGGAGGAGGCTTTTCATCCCCTCAAGCCTGCTCCACCATTCATCACGATCATGGCTGATCGTCCAACTCAATAACCTAATCCTGCTTTCTCCCCTTAACCTTTGATCCCATTCACCCCAAGTGCTATATCGTTTTGGCATTAACTACTTCCTGTGGTAATGAACTCCACAGGCTCACCACTCTTAAGGTGAAGAAATGTCCCTTCATCTCCATCCTAAATGGTCTACCCTGAATCCTCATACGTGACCCCTCGTTCTCGACACACCCACCATCAGGAACATCCTCCCTCCATCTACCCTGTCTAGTCCTCTTAGAATTTTACAAGTCTGTGTGAGATCCCCCCTTGTTCATCTGATCTCCAGCGAAAACAATCCTAACCAAGTCAATCTCTCCTCATAAGTCAGACCCGCCATCCCCAGATTCAGCCTGGCAAACCTTCACTGCAATCCCTCGAGAGCAAGAGCATCCTTCCTCCGAAAAGGAGACCAAAACTACACACAATATTCCAGGTGTGGCCTCACCAAGGCCCTGTATAACTGCAACAAGACATCCCTGCTCCTGTACACGGAACTTCTTGCAATGAAGGCTAACATACCATTTACCTTCTTTACCACCTGCTGTACCTGCATGCTGACCTTCAGAGACTGGTGCACAAGGACACCCAGGTCCCACTGCACACTCCCCTCTCCCAATTTACAGCCATTCAGGTAGTAACCTGCCTTCTTGTTTTTGCTTCCAAAGTGAATAATCTCACATTTATCCAAATTATACTGCACCTGCCATTGATTTGCCCACTCACCCAACCTGTCCAGATCATGCTGAAGGATCTTTGCATCCTCGTCACAGTTCACTCTCCCACCCAACTTGGTATCATCTGCAAACTGAGATGTTACATTTTATTCCCTCATCCAAATCATTAATATATATTGTGAATAGCTGGGGTCCCAGCTCCGATCCCTGTGGCACCTCACTAGTTACTGCCTGCCAATATGAAAAGGACCCATTAATTCCTACTCTCTGTTTCCTCTCTGCCAACCAGTTTTCTATCCACCTCAATACACTTTCCCCCAATCACATGTGCTTTAATCTTGCATAATAATCTCTTATGTGGGAGTTTGTCAAACGCTTTCTGAAAGTCCAAATATACCACATCGACTGGCTCCCCCTTGTCAACTCTACTAGTTACAGCTTCATAGAATCCCAACAGATTTGTGAAGTATGATTTCCCCTTCATACATCCATACTGACTCTGTCTGATCCTGCCACTACTTTCTAAATGCTCCGCTATAAAGACCTTGATAATGGATTTGAGAATTTTCCCAACTACCGATGTTAGACTTACTGGTCAACAATTCCCTGTTTTCTCTCTGCCTCCTTTTTGGAATATTGGGGAGATATTAGCCACCCTCCAATCTGCATAGACTGCACCAGACTCTATACAATCTTGGAAGATGACCACCAATGCATCCACTATTTCTAGAGCCATTTCCTTTAGTGCTCTTGGATGTAGATTATCAGACCCTGGGGATTTATCCACCTTCAATCCCATCAATTTGCTCAGCGCCGTTTCTTTGCTGATATTGATCTCCCTCAGTTCTTCCCTCTCACTAAATCTTGCATTCTCTAATATTTCTGGTATCTGATTTGTGTCTTCTTTTATGATGACAAAACCGAAGTATGTATTCAGTTGCTCAGCCATTTCTTTGTCTCCTGTTATACATTCCCCCTTTCTGTCTGTAGGAGACCTACATTTGTCTTCACCAATCTCTTTCTCTTCACGTACCTATAGAAAATCTTCGTGTTAGTCTTTATGTTCCCTGCAAGCTAGCTTTTGTACTATATTTTCCCCTTCTTAATCTATGAGTGAGGCGATGGCCTAATGATATTATTGCTGGGCCGTTAATCCAGAGACCCAAAAAGCGTTCTGGGAACTTAGATTCGAATCCCACCATGGCAGATGGTGGAATTTGAATTCAATAAAAATATCTGGAATTAAGAATCTAATGATGTCCATGAATCCATTGATGATTGTTAGGGAAGGAAACCACCATCCTTACCTGATCTGGCTAACATGTGACTCCAGACCCACAGCAATGTGGTTGACTCTTAACTGCCATCTGGGCAATTTGGGATGGGCAATAAATGCTGCCTAGCCAGCGATGCCCTCGACCTGTTAATGAATTAAAAAAAAAAAAACCCTTGGTCCTTCTTTGCTGAATTCTAAACTGCTCCCAATCCTCAGACATTATTTTTCATGGCCAATCTGTATACTTCTTCCTTGAATTGGATGCTATCTCTAATTTCCTTTGTAAGCCATTGATTGGCCCTCTTACACAGTTTGCTTTTGTGCCAGACAGGAATAAACAGTTGTTGCAGTTCCCCATGCGTTCCTTGAATGTTTGCTATTGCCTGCCCACTGTCATCCCTTTAAATAACTCTCCCCAATCTATCAAGGCCAACTAACGTCTCATATCCTCATTTTTTCCTTCATTACGATGCAGCACCGTAATCTCCGAATCAATTATCTCACCCTCAATCTTGATAAAAAATTGTATCATGTTATGGTCACTAATCCCCAAAGGGTCTCGCACAGCTAGATTGGCAATGATTCCCTTCTCATTACATAGCACCCAGTGTAAGGTGGCCTGCTCTCTAGTTGTTTCCTTCACATATTTGTCGAGAAAACCATCCCATATACACTCCGGGAATTCCACCTTGACAGCGTTGTGGCTAATTTGATTTGCCCAATCTATGTGCAGATTAAAATCACCCATGATCACTGATATTTCCCTTAACACATGCATCTCTAATTTCCTGTTTAATGCCATTCTCAATGCCATGACACCTACAAATGTTTTTTACTCCTTGGTATTTCTCAACTCTACCTATGCAGACTCCACATTGTCAGAGCTAATATCATTTCTCACTATTGTTTGAAGTTTCTCTTTAACCAGCAATGCCACTCCACTACATTTTCCTTTTTGCCCATCCTTCCTAAATACTGAATACTGTAGGACATTCAGTTCCCATCCCTGGTCACCCTGCAGCCATGTCTCCATAATCCCAATTATATCATACACATTTAAATCTATCTTCGTGATTAGTTCATTCACTTTATTGCAAATGCTCTGCGCATTAAGGCACAAAGCCTTTAAGCTTGTCTTTTTAACATTGTTTGTATTGTTCTTATTTTTCTCAATCGCCCTATCTGAATTTAGTCATTGGCTTCTCTGCTTATCACTTTTCTTATTCCCTTTTCTAGCTTTTGTTTTTGTCCCTGCACCCTCCTTCTGACACCTTACATAGGTTCCCACCCCCTGGCATAATAGTTTGAAGCCTCCCCAAGTACTCTAACAAGCACACTCCTTAGGACATCAGTACCAGTCCTGCCCAGGTGTAACCCATCCCACCTCCCCCAGAACCGGTCCCAATGCCCCAGGAATCTGAAATCCTCCCCCGATACCATCTTTGCAGCCACATATTCATCCAGTATATCCTGTCATTTTCTACTCTGACTAGAACATGGCACCGATGGTTATCCTGAGATCACTACCTTTCAGGTCCAATTTCTTAACTTTCTTCCTAGCTCCCTGTATTCTGCTTTTAGGACCTCATCCCTTTTTTGTACCGACGTGTACTATGACCACTGGCAGTTCAATCTTCCCCTCCAGAATGTTCTGTACCCGCTCCGAGACATCCTTGACCCTAGCACCAAGGAGGCAGCATACCGTCCTGGAGTCTCTTTTACAGCAACACAAACACCTGTCCATTCCCCTTACAGTTCAGTCCCCTATAACTATTGCCCTCACACAATTTTTACCCCTCCCCTCTGCAACAGAACCTATGTTGGTGCAACGAGTTTGCCTGCTGCCGCTTTCCCCTGAGAGGTCATTCCCTTCAATAGTATCCAAAACGGCCTGTCTGTTTTGCAGGGGAATGGCCACAGGAGATTCCTGCACTACCTGCCTATCTCTCTTGCTCTGTCTGGTGGTCACCCATTCCCTTCCTGCCTCCAGAGTCTGAGCCTGCGGTGTGACCGTCTCTCTATTCATGCTATCCATGATACTGTCTGCCTCGCGGATGCTCCACACTGTCCCCAGCCGCTGTTCCAGCTCTGAAGCTCAAGCTTCCAGGAGCTGTAGCTGAAGACATTCCCTGCACGCATGCTGACCCAGGGGACTGGAACTGTCCTCGGCCTGCCACATGGAGCAAGAGGAGCAAACCAACACTTTGAGCTCATCTGTCATGGTTTATCTCTTTAAATTAAACCTTGGAGAGTACTTTATATTAGATTAAATCAAATCCAGTTATCTGTGGCCCTTCTTTCCTGGTCCATGTACTACCCCATGAGATTAGAAGCCAAAAACAAGTACCAAAGCCATAGAAGTTGTGAGGACGTCCCTGCCTTTCCCACTACTCACCAATCAGCTCTCTCCCTTGTAGTCACCTGCGGCAGGACAAGACCACTCACTTTCCCTTGCTTGTGACCTTCGCTTTTTTTTGGTTGGAGAAGGAGGGAGGGAGGGATGGAAACACTGAAGTAGTGTTTGGGGTTTAACTGTCCCTTGACAACACTCCCTCCACAAACCACTGTTTGGTAGAAAAACAGAAGTTGCTGGAAAAGCTCAGCAAGTCTGGCAGCATCTGCAAAGAAAAAAATCAGAGTTAACGTTTCGGGTCTGGTGACCCTTCCTTGGAACTGATGGTAGCTGGGAAAACTTTGGTTTGTACGCAGAAGATAGGGAGGTGTTTGGTAGTGCTGACTGCACCAGTGCAAATGTTCACCCCGACTGCCAATCAGCATCATTGCACCTCTCTGCTGGACACTTGCCTTCACTTGAACTCGGAGGGTGTCTTGCTGACGTCCTCCTGGTAATGGTGACAACACCAATGCAAATCTTCACCCTGACCGCCAATCAGCATCTTCACAGCCCAATTACTGTCCACTTAGAGACTTTAAGTCTCTGCTGCTGGGATTTACCCAGTGGTGGGATAGACCCATGTCAATTGCCCAGTAGCATTTGAGCATAGGAGGTAGTGTTTCCTTAATGGGTCATTGGGCTTATACCCCAATTGCCCCCTGTCCAGTTTACCATTTTCTCCTGTTCTTCACCGTCTCCAGCTAATCCATCCCCACTCCCTCACCCAACACCCTCCAAACTTTGCCCCTGACAAGATTATCTCCCACACTTACCTCGCACTCACGCTGCAGCTCCTGGTGGACTGGGGGCCACTGTAGTCCCAGTTGTGGGACTCAGGTGGCACTGCCAAGGCTTGGGAACTGCCAACCATTTCACTGGTCAGCATCTCTAAGCAACAGGACCTCCTGCCCCAAAGAGGATTGGGTCTTCTCTCTGTATTGCTCAGTTTTCTGCTGGAATGGGGGTGGGCTTACCACACTGACTTCTTCAGAAGGTGGGGCAGAGTGGAATTTGGCACTTTGTTAAAAGCCAACCTCACTGATGAGCAGATGTGAATGTGGCACAAGCAGAAATTTACCCAAAAACTAAAGCACAAGTAGCAATAGTTACAGAAACGGAAAATAGATATCATCCAGATCTTCTGTATTTGGACCTGTACTGCTTGAGTATCTGAGGAGTCATGAATGGTGCCGAACATTAGTGAATGTCGCCACTTCTGACCTTATGATGGAGGGAAGGTCATTGATGAAGCAGCTGAAGATGGTTAGGACTAGGACACTACCCTGAGGAACTCATACAGGGATGTCCTGTAGTTGAGATGACTGACCTCTAACAATCACAACCATCTTCCTTTGTACCAAGTATTACTTCAGCAGAGAAATGCCCCCAGACAACCCCACTTCCAGTTCCCATTGATTCCAGTTTTGCTAGGGCTCCTTGATGCCGCACTGAGTCTAATGCAGCCTTCATGTCAAAGGCTGTCACTCTCTCCTCCCCTCTGGAATTCAGCTCTTTTGTCCATGTTTGAACCAAGGCTATAAGGAGGTCAGGACCTGTGTGGCCTTGTTGGAACCCAAACTGGGCGTCACTGAGCAGATTATTGCTGAGCTTGTGCTGCTTGATAACACTGTCGATAACACTTTGTATCAGCTTACTGATGGTTGAGACTAGACTTCTGGGGCAGTAACTGGATTTATCCCGTTTTTGTTGGCAGGGCATACCTGGGCAATTTTCCTCATTGTTGGGTAGGTTCCAACGTTGTAGCAGAACTGGAACTGCTTGGAAAGGATTCTGAAATGGCCCCAGCAAGCCACTTAGTTCAAGGCTAATTAGATGTGGTTACCAAATATCCACACTCGAATAAGTAATTTTTAAAAAATGCAGTGGAATCCAATCTTCAGCATCCACTCTTCTGAATCACCAGAATATGGTGTTCGAACCTGATTTTAAACCCTCCTGCAAAATGGCACCTCCAACATTTCAACTACCCTCAGTGCATTGGCATGTTCTGTGACACTTCTCTCCAGAATCTTCTGTCTGAATTGTGAATGTTACCAACTTAATGTCTCCGTGTTTTTTTTTAATTTTAAGAGTATAGAAAGATCATGAGCAGATTCTGGGAACCTTTGACAGACAGAGGGCTAGACACTGTACAAGTGCAAACTGATGAATATTTATTATCTCGTTGCACTATATACAGAAACATGTAGGTGGACTTCATTAGGCACTTCTTTATCATTTCTAGCTTCCATCTGACATCAGTGGTGATGCAGTCTAGCTATTAGTATAAACTATCCCTACTGTTTCCCCGCCAATGGGTTTTAGGCACTGGAGAGTACATTATCCACCTACCCTCCGTGATTATACCAATGACAGGGATAGTACAAGGTTTCCCACCTACCAGTGACCAATTGAGCCTTAAATGGGCAATTTATGTCCACTCAAGGACTTCAGATGCCATCTGGATTTTAATCAATTACTATTATTATAAACTTATACTACAAGCAAATCACATTTACATGCTCAAACACAGAAGGATTCATTAATACATGCCAGATCGAGTCTCAAAAAGATGGGGAATTAAAAATGTATTTCAGACTTGATGATGCTGTGATTGTGTAGAATATCTCTGCATTGATAATTCTGGCCAAGCAATTGTAATTAGAAAGATCGCAAAATTGTAAGTTCTTTTTGTTTTCAATGTCGCAGGGTCTGTACCTAGTCTACAACCCAGTACAACTCTCAACTCCCAGTGCAATAGGAATCCTTCTCCTGGGTCTGATTGGCTACTATATCTTCAGAATGACAAACCACCAGAAAGACCTCTTCAGGCGCACAGATGGGAATTGCAAGATCTGGGGCAAGAAGCCTAAATACATTGAATGCTCCTACTTATCCAATGATGGTAAAAAGCATCACAGTAAGCTGATGATCTCTGGGTTTTGGGGCCTGGCTCGCCATTTTAACTACACAGGGGATCTCATGGGTTCACTATCCTACTGCTTGGCTTGTGGATTTGGACACCTCCTGCCTTATTTCTATATCATCTACATGTTGATCTTGCTGGTCCATCGTTGTATTAGGGATGAACATCGCTGCTCAAGTAAGTATGGTAAGGACTGGAAACATTATACTGATGCAGTGCCTTACCGCCTGATACCAGGTGTCTTTTAGGATAGTTCGTATCATCGTTGTACAGTTTTCAGAAGCCCGGCTTACTTCAGTCAACGAAACGTTTGCATCACAAATTCTGATTCACAAGTAAATATTTTCATGGGCGTAACAGATGAAGCATTATGGGTTCTGAATATAACAGAAATCTGATCACATTCATAAAAGTGACCTATCCAATTTTAACAAACTTACTTGCGCTTCCTGTGTAAACTGACCAAAGTTAGACCAAAGTCTAACCATTGATGTATTAGAAAGGTGTTGCCTGAATGGACATTAAATTTCTCCAAATCAATGGATGGAAGTGATAAATACCAGCACAAGCCTAGTGCCTGACTATTTGGTTTTCACCTGTCCTAATCATTTCTTGTAATTTCATTTTTTAAATGCTGCTTTGGGTATGATCCCCAAATAGAATGATGGAATTTCAATTTCTGCAAGAGATATATGCTTAAAATTTGCTCCTGTGCAGTTGTAGCACAGTTGTTAAACCATTCATTTTAAACGAGTTAATGATTACGGACAAGTCAAAAGACTTGTATACATCACCTTTCATGACATCCCAATGTTCCAAAGTGCTTTGTGGGTGTTGAAGTACATTTGAAGTGAAATCACTCTTTCAATTTTAAAAATGCAGCAACCAATTAGCAACAAACTCTCATCAACATCATGTTGGTCCTGATAGAGTCGTAGAGAGTACAGCGTGGGAACAGACCCTTCGGTCCAACTTTCCATGCTGACCAGATATCCTAAATTAATCTAGATCCATTTGCCAGCATTTGGCCCATATTCCTCCAAATCTTTCTTATTCACATACCCATCCAGATGCCTCCACCATCTCCTCTGGCAGTTCATTCCATACACGCTCGACCCTCTATATGAAAAAGTTGCTCCTTAGGTCTATTTTAAATCTTTCCTCTCTCACCTTAAACCTAAGCCCTCTAGTTTTGGACTCCTCTAACCTGGGGTAAATCCCTTGACTATTCACCCGTATCCATGCCTGTCATGATTTGATAAACCTCTATAAAGTCACCCCTCAGCCTAATGATTTGAGAAACAAATGTTGGCCAGGACACGAAGGGCAACCCCTCTGATCACCAAATGAGCTATCTTTAACCTGAATTTTAATGGCCAAATTCTGTACCACTTTTGTCAACGAGAATAATTGGGCCTGAGGAAAGTTCAGAACGTCTTCCCAAAAGTCTGTCTTTATCTTCTTGATCCTATGATAAAGAAACAGGTTCACACACCATCAAGACAACATTAACAACTGCAAACACAATAAGCGAAGTATTGGACACGTGGCCTCTCAATTCATTAGTTTTCAATACGATCATGGCTAATCTTCTGCCTCAGTTCTATTTTCCACCGTGACCCAAAATAATATTCCTTGATTCCCTTAGTGTCTAAAAATCTGTCAATCTTAAACTTGAATGTACTCAACAAATGGGCATCTACACTTTACCGTGACAGGGAATGTCATAGATTTGTAATGCTCTGTGAATATACTTGTCTTCTGATATGTGCTGTCCGTTCTCAGTCCTCAATAAATGACCTTTTAATCTAAGACTATGACCCATTGTTCTACACCACCCAGCCAGCAGGAATATTTCAACATCTTGTCCATCAAGCTCTCTAATTTTTTTTTCTTTCAGTGTGATTGCCTCTATATCTTTCAAACTCCAGAGTTTATCGAACCATTCTACCTTACAGCTGGATTTAATTTTTCCCCCGTCAATGACTTTGTAAGCACTGGGGAGTACATTATCCACCTCCCCTCAGTGATAATTTCAATGACAAGGATAGTACAAGGTTTCCCACCTACCAGTGACCAATTGAAGCCTTAAATGGGCAATTTATGTCCACTCAAGGACTTCAGATGCCAACTGGATTTTAATTAATGAGTCTCCAATGGGTCCAGGTGGCATTAGGGTTAGACTCAGGGAGCAATGCCCACCTGCTGAGATGTAACTCTACTGACTGCAGGTTTCCTTACCCCCCCACCCCCCACCCCAGGGCCTCTCAAATCTCAGTTGCGTCCCCTCTCCTCCAATATTTGAGGCAGCAATGGCTGTGGTGGAGCTCGACTAAGTAATAACGGCTGCTTTTGCACTCTAATGTACAGGGCTCCAATGTCATAGATCTCTTCTGCCAAACCCCCCTACCCCATCCATCCTCTCTCACAGTTCTCACTGAGGGGTCACAACAATTTTCAAGTGTCCAAATGGTCTCATAGTGGGAAGATGTTTGGGAATCTCTGGCCTAAGCTTTAGAACATTTACTAATCTTTTCTGATTTAAAAAAGAAATCTGCTTTTCTATTCTTCCAACCAACACGGATAATGTCACATTTCACCATTTTGTACTTTGCACACAGACTCCCATGCTCACCTGTCTGTATTTGGCAGTAGCCTCTTTGTGTTTCCCTACAGTTTATTCCCATTTAATGCAAACATTATCCACTTATTCCTACTGTATTGTGTCAAGGAGCCAATTCTCAATCTAAGCTGATGTTATTGGCCCAATTATATGATAGAATCATAAAATCTTACAATACAGAAGGAGGCATTCAGCCCACCTTGTCTGCACTGGCTCCTGAAATAACTACCCAGCTCTGTAATCTTGTGTAACAACCTTTGTATAGGACTTTGGACTCCAGTACCATCAGCTCTCTTTAATGTAACCCATTCAAGAATATAGCGTGATCCAAAAAATGATTTTTTTTTCAAAAATTATCTAACGATCCTAAAAAAATTCATCTCGGGAGTTCTGCAGCATATAATATTTGGGAAATAATTTTACATTTATTCCAAAGTGGCAAAACTGCTGGAAATTCCTACTTTTGTCAGTTACATGGAGGGATCAGGCTGTATTAGTGAGCGAAGTGGCCATATAATCCACTAGTGGTTGCAAATGACTGAGGAATTTTGCATGTAGTCTTGATTCAGCTTTGTACACAAATTTCCTCAGAGGGAGAGGGAGCTCAGCCCCTCCCTCGTATGCCCTGGTTATCTATTAATAGCAAGTCATTGCAAGGAATGTTTTGAAACACTCTGAAGAATTGAACTTTTCTCTGCTGTTGTTGGGATGTGTTGTTATGAAAGCTTAAAATTGCCTTGGTAAGCAGGAATTGAAAACGTCAAAACATTTTACTGGCTACATTTAGTAATTATCACATGTAACATTTTCACATGGAATCAGAGATTCTCGACATTCGGAACAATCCAGCATGTCAGACTGTTGCGTTTCTTTTTACAACTGAATTTAGTTTCCATGTTTCATCAAAGCAAATATAAACACCTGATTTTGCACAAGGACTACGAATTTATTGAAAAAATCCTAAACTTGGGGAAAAAACGCAAAAATAATTAACAAAGTGTTGTGCCTGTTTATTTTTAATTGTATTAGTTAAACAAGTAGATTGTTTCCGATATTTATAATTCCTGAAAAATATTGGAATTTGTTTCAAACTGTGATTGTAGTTTGATGTAAGTTGTCAAACCAACAAACACACACTGTCCTACTTTCTATATCCCTCTCTCTCTTTCTCTCTCTGTCTATAAAATGTAGAGATGGTTGAAAAAAACCAGGTCCAAGGTATTTTTAATACTGTTGAAATTCATGTAATAGTTTTCTATTGCAGTATATTTATGCAAATGAATAAAAATGTAGCAAACTGCCTCAAAATATTGGTATACTGCAAATTAGGACTATCTTCTTCTGACTAATTTTTGTTTATTCAATGCTAACTAGTTGTATTCTTAAATAAATCTTGGGCTTTGCAGTCTTTGTAAAATGATTTTGTTTCATTATATATACATTTCATTAACGGAATTCACTTCAAAAGATTCTGATTGTACTTCAGTTCGATATTAACATCACAAACGTGTTTGTCCAACTAGCTTTTGCCATCATGGCATTGTTCCTCTGGCATCACAACATTTTAGAATTTTTTTTGGTCTACAGCATAATTGTAGCAGCATTTTCAGAGGTTAAAAATGAAAATATTTGAAAATAACATTAGTTAGGCAGTAATAGAGAAGCAAAATGCTGGAAGTACTCAGCAGGTCTGGCACCATCAACGGATAAAGGAACTGAGTAAATAATTCAGGTCTGTAGCCTTTAAGCTCAGATAATAGGTCACAGATCTGAAACCTTTAGCTTGATCCTCAATTTGGGACCACAATCAAATGCTCAGATAATTTCCCTGTCTCAGTCCCACCATGCAATCTTACAATGTAAATGCCCTCGTTAGGCTGGCAGAAATCTCAGCACCCAGTCAGTGATTTGTCATCGGGGTGAGAGTTGCCTGCAGACCTCAAATGACAAAGGCAGATAGCTGCCATGATGGAGCTTGCCCCTGCCTTGTGAAAGAGAAATGGCAGATAATTGGAGGAAGACCACACACCAAGGTGGCAATGGGGAGAGGGTGATTTAGTCATGGAGAGATGGTGACACTATCACTGGACTAATAATTCAGAGCCCAATCAAACGTTCTGGGGGCATGGTTTCAAATGCCACCAGGATAGCCGGTGGAAGTTAATTAATTTACTAATTCATGAAATAAAACTGGAATTGAAAGCCAATCTCATGAAACAGTCATTGATTACTGTTGATGGCTATGTTCCACCAACCTTCTCTGAGGAAGGAACTCTGTCTTTTTCTGTTTTGTCCTACATGTGACTTCAGACCCACGGCAATGTGGTTGATTTATAATCACCCATTTAACCACCCATTCAGATGTTCCAAACTGCTGTGGAAAGTCAAAAGGGAACAAAATAAGTTTTGAAAATCAAAAGAAAAATGAGCTGAATTTTTTGTTCAGCATGCTAGATAGAAAGAAATCCCACAGCGTGTGTCATGTGAATATGCTCAGAAGGTATTTTGATTGAGAAAGAAAGCAAAAGGAGACTGCATTACTAATTACAACACAGAGTGAAGAACCAAGTTTAGATGATTCTGAATTGGACATTCCTCAAATTAAGTTAGAGACAAAAAAAAACTGCAGATGTTGGAATCCAAAGTAGGCAAACAGGAGGCTGGAAGAACACAGCAAGCCACACAGCATCTGGTGGAAAGGAGAAGTCAACGTTTCAAGTATTACTGTTCTTCAGGACTGAAGAAGGGTTCATACCTGAAACGTTGACTGCTTTTTTCCTCCAGATGCTGGCTGGCTTGTGGTGTTCTTCCAGCCTCCTGTTTGTCATTCCTCAAATTGGACAATGAGGAAGTTCTCAAAAATTGGGATAAACTATAGAGTTACTTTCCATAGAAAAATCAAAATGACCAGTGAGAATTATTACAATCGCTTGGAAAGATAGGTGGGAATAAGCTGGGAAGTACTGATCTTATTTAACATTGACTTATCTGACATGGAGGCTCAGTGATTAGCACTGCTACCTCAGTATCAAGGATCTGAGTTCGATTCCAGCCTTGGGCTATTGCCTGTGTGGAGTTTGCACATTTTCCCCGTGTCTGCGTGAGTTTTCTCTGGGTGCTCTGCTTTCCCGCCACATTCCAAAGATGTGGCCATGCTAAATTGCCCATAGTATCCAGGGATGTGCAGGCTAGGTAGATTAGCCATGAGGAATGCAAGGTTATAGGGAGAGGGTAGAGGGGAATGGGTCTGGCTGGGATGATCTTTGGAGGGTTGGTGTGGACATGTTGGACTGAAAGGCTAGAACAGCTTCTTTCTGGCCATTATCAGACTGATGAATAGACTCTGTATCCTCAAATAATGCTGATCTTGCCGAGCGCACACCCTGTGCAATGTAACCTCTGTCTAAACCTTTTTGATCTGTACATCCTTACTTCCTATGATCTGCCTGTACTGCTCGTAAACAAAACTTTTCACTGTACTTTGGTACATGTGACAATAAATCAATCAATCAGTCAATGTAGACATTCTATGATTGTAATTACACATGGTGTGGATATAGGAAATGCTGTTCCAATTGAGCAACATTCTTGTAGACAGCCCTGTAAAGTTGGCACAGGTTCAAAAAGCGATTGTCTTTGAGCGGTGTTCAATCGACTAAGAGGGAAGTACTACGATTCCTGGGACTGAGTAGTTTTTATTGAAATTTTGTACCGAATTTTAGCAGTGTGGTGCACTAAACCTTGCTTCTATAAGTTCTCCTACCACTAGAAGTAACACTGACACTTTACCTCCACAAAATTGTGAATTTTTGATTTCTTGTCTGCTTCCTGTTTCATCACATGCTGTGCTACTTTTAAATACTGTCTAGCCAACTCACTGGTCTATTTAATCTTTCCCTAAAATTTGATATATAGTCCAAAAATGTGGTGTCTGAACTCTGACGCACCAATTTTTCCTTCATTCAAGTGGTCTTCTCACCTCATGCCCAAAATTTAATTCAGATGAACTGAATTTGATTCATTAGGTGCATCCCTAATTGCAAAAAGTATAAATGGAATTCCTTTATCGCAATCTTCTGAATAGTCTTGACTACAAGCACTCAACATGGTCTTTAAAGTTTGATGCCACTGCTCTAATATATCACTGTTCCTTCACTGTCGCTGGGTCAGAATCCTGGAATTCCCTCCCTAATAATATTGTGGGTCAACCCACAGCAGGAGGACTGCAGCTGTTCAAGAAGGCAGCTCACCACCACCTTCTTAAGGGCAACTAGGGATGGGCAAGAAATGCTGGCCCAGCCAGCGATGCCCACACCCCATAAATGAATAGAGAAAAAATGTACACTCAAGTTGACATTCTTCTACCTCATCATACTTCCCAGATACTTTCTCTGATAGTCGTGCAAATACCTCACTAGCTCAATGTACCAACTTCGTTTGGATCAACAATACCCGCTTGATCAATGGCCATTTCATTTGTTTAGCCAATTTCTCAAATGAAATGAAAAAGGCTTCTACATCCTTCTTGTCGAACTTTGGCAATGCTTGGATACATTTAAACAGATCTCCACCAGGTCTTTAGCTACAATGGGATTGCTGTCCATCACTGTCCTCATCACTACTACTACTTTTCACTTCTACATCCACCATTTTAAATTGATTTTGAGTTTTCAGTTCCAACTGCTGAAGATCAAAAACTCTCTCTTTCTCCCTTTCTTCTCCAGGGCCATCCTTTCCTTTTATTTTTGTTCAGCCAGGGCTATTCTTTCCTTTTATTTTTCCTAATCTTTTAATCATAATTCAAACTGTTTCATTTCCTTTTCTCTTGCCATTGTCTCTAATACAAGCTGCTTCATTTGTAATTGAATCTTAGTCATTTCCAATGATTCTGATTGCATTCCTGGCAATTGTAAATGCTGCGCTATTGCCACAAATATTTCCCCTTTCCTCACAGACACAACTTCAACTTGTTTGCCACTTCCAAAAGTTTTGCCTTGCTCACTTCCTGTAAAACACCCAAAATTACTTCTTGCACCCCCAGGAAATTCTTCGTGACTGAAAGAGCCATTATTAGTCAGGTACACCCTGTTTAAACCAACTGAATGCAATACTCAAAATAAGGAAACACCAGCACTCACCACTCTGCGTTTGATTCCAATAAACCTAAACTTAACCTGGAATTAGAGATATTGATCCTGACGAGAGCCCCTGATTTGTTATGGATCAGACCAAACCTCCTCAAAGCATGTCAAGGAGATAGCCTAGACCCTAACTTTTTCTTATTTTAAAAGTAAGTGCCAGGCATTGAGTTCTGGATGCAATTCGATTGGTTAAACTACCAGACTTGAAGCAAAACACACTTTATTCATATACTATAGTTAAAATACAAGCAAAAGAAAGAAGGATTGGAATAATTTCATTCTCTTGGAAAATTTAAAAGAGTGATAGATTATTTAACTACTAAACATCAACTGTTCCAATGTAGTAACATCCCATAAACATACCTTTGGCAAAGGCAAAATCAGTAAAATAGATGATCTCATATGTAATTCTCCAGTCGGAGGAAATAACATCAACAAAAAAACTCTGACAGACAGAGAGAATTCAAGTGTTTTGCTGCAGCAGGGAGAGATGTATTGCAGCTTCCAAACTCTTAAGTAAAATCCTGGTTCTGTGAGAGCTTGACCTCACCCATTCAGGCTGCTTCTATTTTTCCAACTTAAAAAAGACCAAGGCCTTACAGGCTGTTTACTTTATTGGCTTGAAGCAGACCGTTTGTCGTCTTGTCTCAACCTCTCGTCATTAAAAAAAACCAGGACAAAATACACCTCACAATGCCATAGTATTATCACACGATGAAGTAAAAAATTTTACATCAGGACATGCTGCATTGATCTTTCAGAAAAATGACTATTGGGTACCTGAGAAAGTTCCAAAAATCAGTATGTTTAAATTATTCTTAAATGTAGCAGCTAGACTACTGCTTCCATTCAAAGACCAAAGCCTAACAGACCCTCATCTGAACTAAAGTTTGATTTGAAAGTCTCATCAATTCTGTAGCTGTTAGTATTGTAATATTGTTGACAAGGAATTGAATGGACTGTGAGGGAAATCTCATCTCTTTCTTCATCATTTGAAGTTTGATCCTTGGCCCCACTGGAATGTTTTTCCTATTTGCCTTTTCAGAAAAGAATCCCATATAATCTCTGCAGAGGGGA